ATATAATCAATGTACAAGGTCCATTACTTAGACTTACAAAAATCACAGTATACAAAACTAAATTGGTAATCAGAACATACTAGTGGTTATTTCACACTCAGTGATTTCGAAAACTCTTGTATATTAAATCCCCCTTCTTCCCTATCCTTCGATATTAAGGGGGAAAGTTGTCAATGAAATATGTTTAACAAATGTATAAAGGTAACTTCCTTTTATCTACTTAAAGAATATCAAATACAAAACAATGCAATTGATATTTCAAACAAAATTTCAATTAAGATTTATTCAGTATGACAGACAGATTTTCTTGGAACATTTTACCATTTTACAACATGTCCTCAAAAACAACATATGAAGTAATTATACAATCTTGCTTACCAGTTTGCTTTTCAATTTTGTTAATGGTCACAAATATATTAGAAAAGCTTTTTCCTCTTGGGAAAGCTGTTTAAAGTTATCCATGTGTAAAAATATATTTGTGCAAGTACAACTCTCTTTATTGCAGTGTTTAAAATTGCAATGCAATAAAGAATCAAGAAGTTCTGAACCAGCAAAAATGTAATAAGGGTCCAATATATCTCATCCCGTAGATTACGATGTGAGAAACATTACTTTGAGGCGTGGGAGCGAGGCATTTCTTTGAGATTGTGTTTTGAGGGTTTGTTGGGGGGAAGGGCCCTTCTCTACCAACAAACCTTTCACATTTTTAAAGTTAAAGTGCAATTCGTTGAGTCTCCATGATTTTTTTTTTTTTTTTTTTTTTACTGCATTCATAAAGATTGCCACAGAACTCGTCTATACTACTGAAATAATATAGGAGAGGATAAGCTCATCTTTTATGTTATCAAAAATTGAGTCAATAGAGATAAGTTAGCTAGTGCAGACTGCACTGCCCATGATAATATTAATATGAATATGCAGGGCAAGATATATTAAAGAAGGCGGATATTCAAATATCTTGGAATCTTTATAGAGTTATTAATTTTATCAAAAGCTTACCTTGTGCAAAACACATTTATTGTGAATTTAGAAACAAAATGGAACAATGTAATATATTCAGTACATTATCACAGTTTTTGAAATATATCATTTTATATACAAATTATACCTTATTCTGAAATTAAAACTACATCTTATTTTAAATACATTCTAAAAACATAAATATTCTCTTTTACACATCGCAGCAAGGATGGACTGTATTTATACTTGCAGTATATTTATCAATTTTACAATGAAATTGGTAAATGTGAAATGCTACAATGAAAATGTAGATGCATAGATAATTGGTTAAGGCACATGAAAAATATGTAACATTGTTATTAATATTTTAGAACAACTAGAGATTTTTTAAGAGGGTTCAGTTCTGATTTTGTTGAACTGAAAGTATTTGCACTCCAAATCGAAATGCAAAGGAAAATTAAAATTACATGATTACATAAAGATGAAAATACATCAGACACTCTGTCAAAAGCTTCAGATTCACATGGGAAACACATACTTTTACTTTAAGGCTTGTTTTGTATGAAGCAAAGGATCTTTTAATGAAACCTAGGAATATATTTGCATGCCGAACATTTAGTTTTCACAAAACAACTGCTAAAATCACTCCAGGTCCATGAAACATACAGTGTCCAATAATTATAACAAAAAGTTGTAAATAAAACAAAGTATGTACTTGGTGCAACAGCCTATGAATGGGCTCAGGTCTACTGGCAACGGCCCTGCCTCATGATCATGGATTAGGGACAACATGTCATTAGCACATAGACATCCTCGTTCTCAATCTGAGAAGTGAATTTTCTTATTGTCACACAGCAACATACACTGGGACATTACAAGGAAAACTCACATTATAGTGGAAAGAGAGCACGCTGACCAAGATCTAGCCACGAGTCCAAATAAAACAATAGTTTACTTTAAATATGTTTCTTCTAAACAATTTTTTTTTAAAGTTTTGCCTCTTGAATATCATTCAAACAATACAAAGTAAAACTGGTTCAATGCGAAATGTGTATAAAGCAGAAATCTGTTCAATGTGAATATAAACTATGGTCTTGTCAAATGTAAATTCTACAGTATTTTAATGTATATTGTGAAAAAAATACTGGTCCCTTCAGATTTCACAATAAGTAAGTTTTACTATTTACTTCC